GGGCTCAACACTACTGCAGAGTGACCCAAAATGGTTAAACTTTGGTGCTCGTGGCTGGGGGGAGGGTTTGTGTTAATTAATGATGAGTTCATTGTTTTGCTCAAGTTTTTAAAGGGGTGTTTCTCTCCTTTTTTTGGGTTGCACTCCACTTCCAGAAGGTAAGACCCACTGCTGCGTGTTCTAAAGCTGCTCCTCTCCTGCAAACCCTTAATTGCAGAGCACCTGCTTGTGCCACAGCCTTAAACCTTCCCTTGGTAGTGCACCTGGTGTAAGGCTTCCATCCCCTGCTCCGCCTTCCCCGTGCTGTTTGCATCCACACTCCCACGGGATGCAAACTGGGAATCTCGGTGCTTGTGTTGTCTGTGGAGTGTGTCCTGCTCCTCGCTGTGCCTCACCTGTCCCTGCTGCCTGCACACCTGCTCTGGGGGTGCTTGATTTGCATGTGGGGGTTGTGCATCGTGTCTGGGAGCTGCATATTGGGGGAGGCAAAATTTAACATGGAAAATCCACTGCTTCCCTAACCCGTGTTTAATGTGCTGTGGTTGGGATGGAGGTGGCTGCCTGGCTGGCTCTGCCCTGGCCCTCCAGACACCTGGAACCAGTGTGCTTTGAACCAGTATGTTTTAATACACTACTAAACAAAAAGCTGTTGGTGTGAATGTCTGAGTCATGTGGAAAGTGGGGAAGAAGGGGATGCTCCACAAAAGAAGAAGGGGAAATCCTCACCCCTGAAAGAGCTGATCCCTTTGGGTAGCTTCATCCAGTCACACCAGACAGTGACGATGGGGAGTGAAGACACTGCTGGAACACTCTGTATTAAACTTCCATTTAGAGCTGATTACCCTTCCCTGTTGCTGAGTGCACCTGACTAGTGTGAAACCAGTTCATTCCCAGTTGTTTCCAGCAGCTGCCTCTCCTCCTGCAGGGTCCCCACAGTCCTGGGTCCTGGGGCCGGAGGCAGCGGCGATGTGCTGAGTCCAGCATGCTGCTAACCACAGCAAAATTGGAGCTGCAATCTGTAGTCACCTCTGGATAGATAATCACTGTGTGGGATGCCCTGAGGGGAGGGCTTGGACAGTCCAAGTACGTCAGGATTGGAACATTTGGACCATTTTTGTCTGGTCACACTTTGTTTTGAAAATCAGAACAAGTCAGCTCAGCCCCTGAGGTCTTGGAGCGAGGCTGTTGGGAAGGGATGCTCCAGAGGGATTGCAATGTGGGAAGAGATGCTCCACCTCCTTCCTCCCCTTCCACAGGCAGCTGCTCAGAGTAGAGTCCTCCCTGTGTAACCTTCATTTACCACTCAAACCCCTTTTTCCTGCTCAATCTGAAGAAGCTTTGAATTAATGTGGAGTTCAAAATGCCCTGGTTTAACTGGCTTAAATTTGGGAATTCTGGGAAGAAAAATGTGGTATGTATGAAGCTGAAACCTCAGGTCTCTTGGAGAAATCTTCACCAGGGAAGAGCTCAGAGTATCTATTTCTTGTGCCGTGGGCTGGCCTCAGGTGCCTCTTCCCTACAAAAACCATCATTGTGCTGGTTTAGCCTTTCCAGCAGTCAAAATAAGTAAGGAATGTGCCCATCCTGCCAGCCCAGGGACTGTCACTTGCCAGAGGTGACCTTGAGATCAGTTTTCCAACTTACTAATGAAGGTGTGGATATGGAAAATGGTAATTTTCAGAATAGAATTAATATTTGCAAGTCACCAAACCCCTTTGTTCAGTCAATAATGTAAAGAAATAAAATTTATGTATCAGTCATGGGTTTATAAAATCCAGCAGTCTGTTAAACTGGTTATTTTGAGCTGATGTTAGAAGGGAATCTTTACTAATCCAACATTTTCTGTGACTGGCAACACCAGGTTGCTCCAAGCCCCATCCAGCCTGGCCTGGAACACTTCCAGGGATGGATCAGCCACAGCTTCTCTGGACAGCCTGTGCCAGTGCCTCACCACCCTCACAGCCAAGAATTCCTTCCCAGTGTCCCATCTATCCCTGCCCTCTGGCAATGGGAAGCCCTTTCCCCTTGTACTGTCCTTCCATCCCTTATCCCAAGTCCCTCTGCAGCTCTCTTGGAGCCACTTCAGGCACTGGAAGGGGCTCTGGGTTCTCCCTGGAGCCTTCTCCTCTCCAGGCTGGGTGCAGAACACAGGGAGTTGGAGAAAGGAATAAGGGAATGTTGGGGGATTCTGAGCACAGGGAGAGCGAACACCCAGCAAGGGTCCACCAGAGGAGAGCAAGTCTGATCTCAGAACAGATGTAGCTCCAGTCTCCTGCATGTTTGTGTGCGAGCAAACTGCCAGGACAAACCCTACCTTTTATCCAGGAAGAACACCCTGAGTGCTTTTCTCTGGGATCAGGCAGGTTCAGCACAGCCCCAATGGCTTGTGCTTCATCTGAGTTTGGGGGAGCATTTTGGCTTGTTTCCATTTACCTTTCTGGGTGTGGTTTGGTGTGGTTTTTAAAGTTTGGAAGTTTTTATGTCCAGTTTGGAGGCTCCTGTGTCAGTGGAGATCCAGATCCGTTCAGTTGGGATCTGCTGCTGGCACAGCTCACATGACCCTGCAGCAGCAGCCTCTCTCCTGTCCTTCTGCAGCTGCCTTGGGACACTGGTCAGACTGGTCAGAGCTGGGAACCACCACCCTTCACCCAGAGCAGGGCTTAGAGTGAGAGATAGTCCTGGGAATAGGAGAGTTCCTATAGGAATTGAGTGCTTACGAGTACTCGCTCATAGAGGCAGAAAGGATGTGACATGGTCATGGATCTTCCACCCAAATCAAACCCATTTTTTTTGGAAGTTAAGTGGGATTTGTTGACTGATTTTAACTATAAGATGGTGGCAATAGGCTGTGCGACAAGCTGGAGTAGTGCCAGATCTGTGGCAGCTTCCAGCAGAGCCTACAGGGGCAGGCAGGTACATCAGGGTGGGTAAGCAGGAGAAAATAATGAATTAAAAATAGCAGAGAAGCTGTTAAGCAGCAAATGAGTTCAGTAGGAGCAGTGAGGGGCCAGGGGAGTATAGCTTTGGTAAAGATGAGTCCTGCCTAGGCTTAATTCCTTGGGGAGCTTCCAGAGCACAGCTCTGCCCAGACCTTATGCAGCGCTTGGCTAAACATCGATGTTTGGCTCTGATGCAGCTTTTAGAAAGAATGTGCTCGGTGAGGTACAGGTCAGGTACGTGGCAGAGCTCTCCTCAGCCCCTGGGACTTTGTGGGTGTGGAGGGATTCACTGTGATCCATGTGGTTCCACATGCTGGGAGTGATTGGGAAAAGAGTATAAAATTGTAAAATCCAAGAATGATTTGGGCTGGAAGGACCTCAAAGCTCATCCAGTCCCACCCCCTGCCATTGGCAGGGGCAGCTTCC